CTCACTCATATTAAGTTGTTGTAGTTTAAAGTTTGGCTTGATTTAAAAAAAAAATCATATATATTTGTTATTCTAAGGTTTCAGGCAGATCCTAAGAAGCCTATTGGCGGACACATCCTGGCACATGCCTCCACCACACGGATCAGTCTGAGGAAAGGACGTGGAGAGATGAGGATTGCCAAAATATTTGACAGGTAGATACCACCTCAATTGTAAATGTGTGGTGTGTTAAATGTCAGAATATTTAAGTGATATTTGGCCAAAGACGATAGTAGGGTTAACTATGATTCTTGTTTTTGTTTGCTGCTTTATTTTAGTACTTACTGTATTTTATTTTATCATTGTTCATTAAGAGGTGAACATTTTTACTTTCAAAGACTATTTTCTGGCCCTGAACTTTTAGTAATCCCCAGTGTATCCCTTGTGTTATTTCCTCAAGTCCTGAAATGCCAGAGAACGAAGCTACCTTTGCCATCTCTAACGGAGGAGTCACTGATGCCAAAGAGTGAAACATGAAGAGAAGAGACAAGACAAGAGGAGCAGAAGAAAAGTAGGAATTTGAGTAGTTCCCTGTTCCATCTACTTAACAGTTAAGTCATGTTTGATGTAAGTTATTTATCCAGTTCAATGTGTTTCAGAGTTGTCTTTATAAACTATTACAGCTAAGTTTGTGATTTTTTTTTTCACATAGAACCAGGAGATATTAGTACCAGGAACTGTTCTGAAGAAACTAAATGAAAAAAAGTAATGACTGACAGAATGAAGAGAGTAAGACTAACAGAATAGGAGGTAAAAATGAACTTTAACAGTTGGCAGTTGGACAATATGAGTAGAGGTGGGCTTTATCAAATGGATGTAGAAATGTAGCAGGACATATGTTAGAATACTGGTTAAAGCCCAAATAACATTTAGTATGTTTACTGTGACCTATAGTAAATTATATATTTTATTATGACCATCTCCATGTAGCAGAATTACTGTTAGTTACCTACTTTCTAAGAACAAGATTCATTAAAAAATCTGCATATTTTTAAGAAGAAGACATAGACATTTTTGAAACATTTTGAAAATTTGAAACAGCTCTGATTGTGCAATGTGCATGAAATAAATAGGGTAATAATTTTTACAGTATAATTATAATGATTAATAATATAATAACTTACAGAATTTTACAGTATAATAAAAAAATGATACATATTTACTTTTATAATTACTTTTTTACTTTCCAAAAACGAGTAGAAATAAACAAAAGGCTTTACACTTTTCTATTTACTTATTTAAATACTACATTAAATTATTAACAGTGTTACCTTTAGTGTTACCTTTCTTAATTACCTTTAAAGGCGTAGCAGTTTTTAACCGACACCAGATGGCAGTAGCGGTGGACACACGTGGAAGCCAACGGCCGTTAAAACGCTAAGAAGAAGAGAAACAGGAAGCGTAGGACCAGGAGGAAGAAGAGAAGAAGAATAAATGTGACTGGATAACGTGGACTATAGAGTTAACACTAAGCAGGTGCTGGCCTCTAGCGGCGTTTACACAACGTGCGGCGGCTGAACACCACTTCACGTCGGCTACGGGATCCATATGCGTGCTCGAGCAAAGCTTAACAAAGCGATGGGGACTTGAGCAAACGTGCTGCTAAGAAGAGTCTGAATCACACCAGCAACTAGATACGCTTGAAAACACAACCGTAGTGTTCGACAGCCGCTTAATCGGTGACGGAAAACTTGTCAACTCCGTGGAAAAAAAGCGATGGACCCGAGAGACACAGCCCCGGATTCGTGGGAGCTGGAGGATGATACCGAGGCCACGGCTACCGCGGCGGGGCTGCCAAGCGCCTTCGCCGCTCTGAACGTGAACGCCAAGCCGTTCGTGCCCAACATCAACGCCCCGGTGTTCGTGCCGAGCTTCCTTCAGGGCAGCGCCGCGGAAACACCGGCATCTGACGGTGAGAATTTGAACGACGGACACTTGACTGGAAGTTAGCTTAACTCGCTCGCTAGCTAGCCCACATGCTAAACCCGCTAAGTTAGTTAGCTGCTTCCTGTGAGCGAGTCCAGCAGTAGCTGTGTGATCTCATAACTGATCAACAAGTCGGCTCCACCGAGGGCCATGTGCTGCTAGCATGTTAAAGCCACGTACAGTTTGTATAAATCTGTCACATCCGCGGCGTTGAATACGATGTGTCGCTATTGTAGACATATTTCTAAAAGTTTTTGACACGCCATGCCTCTCCTTCTCTCCTCTAAGGTGCCCCTGAACCAGCGGCCAGCATGGAGGTGGCAGAAACAGCCGGTATGGATCCACACTCTGCTGCAGGCTCGGTTGCTCAACCTATATTACATTACAAATCTGGTCGTGCCAGGCTAGATTTTCATCCACATGGCAGTGGTTTCAGGCTCAAGTGTTCAGATTGGCCAAAAGCCACGCGAGGTGTTAGATAAGGGTTGAGAGAACAACCTCCAAATCTGTCATTGTAGTATAAAGTTTTAAGGCAGAGAATATTAAAGTCAAAGAAACCAACTATGTTTCTATTCAGTTATAGTTGAAAAAAGTATTGAAGTTTAATCTCAGTATACAGTTAGAATTGAAACGAGATATACCCCCAGCAGTCAACCTGAAGAAAAGCTTTTTGTTTTACTGTGTAGCAGTTAAGTAAAATCTATGGTTATTTAAAGGGACATACAAGACAAATGGCTTTGTTTCTCAGAGATTACATTTTTTAATTAATATAGTAATTGTCATTGCACATAATCATAAACAACACCAATGTTCCTCTGCATTTAACTCGGCCACACATTCCTGGGCCACAGTGATCACTGAAAGCACCCAACCGAGGTGGGATTTAATTCTGGATCCTCTGATTGCCAACCCCTTCCTCTCCTACTAGCGTCATCTTTGACGAGACATTTGTTTGCCAAAGATAATGAAATGGGTGGGAGAAAAAGGAAAAGAATGACACACTATACACCACTATCTTATTAATGGATATCTGTATAGCTGCCGATGGATTTGTTTTTTCTTTCTTTTCTGGAGGACATTCAAACCAGTGTCTGGAAGGTGTTAGGATGCATAGGAGTATTTAATGAATGAATGAATTAAATCCATCACTCAATAAAGATGGCAAATATTTACAGAAATATACTGTTATTTTACTACATATCAGAGTATCTGATATTACCACATTCCATACTCACCAGAACAGGAGGTTCCATCAGCCAGTACTTTTTTTGTTCTACTGTCTGACATTACATTAAAACTTAAAAAAAATATAAAACTAACTATTAAATCCTACCATTCAGTTCTATAGATAGTGCATTACTGTTACTGAATGTTGTCATTATCACAACCAACCCACCTTTGTACAGCCCTGTCCACAAACCACACAAAAAAAGAAATGTGTGTGTATATATATATATATATAACAGCTCCACCTGTCGACTGAGTTCTTGTATAAGGAGTTTATCTGACGAGCCTCAGTTTAATCTGCAGTTCAAATGTTTACCTCATCATCATTGTGTTTGAGCAGCTCGTTGGTCTGAGTTGTGGCTCAATAAATATGTTACTATTTAAGAGAGAGAGGTAAGACATTTTTTTCTTAGTTTTATTCAGAAATCTAAGCTCTGGATATTTTGTTTCCTGCTCTTTATATGGAACTGATTTCTTGCTCCACTGTTGTGGCGATGTTCTCTTCTCATCCCTTCACATCTCTCTGAAGACGCACTGTGATTTCACCGTGACCAGTTTGTCCTCGATGTCTGAGTTTCAGCAGTTTTTCTCACAGGCTGATTAGAAATGATGAGAAGAAAATGGTCCTTGTGATCCTCTGTATAATTTCTTTGTTACATAGTGGGAGGATTATTCTCTGTTCTGCAACGAACAGAGCACAAACGTATTCAGTGTGCTCCTGTTACAAGGTCTTACTTGTGTTATTGAGTTTTGTTCCTTGACTTTGAGGAGTTGTGTAGAGTAGACGAAGGGTGGAGGGGGAACGACTTCTAACTGGTGAACTTTGTAACTCTAGTTCCTAACCATAAATGCATTCATAGACACTATAAACATGACATCACCTGTGACACCATTTCACGTACAGTATGTAAAAAGCTTAGGTTCAGTAAGACTCCATGTATAAGGAAATTAAGTAGCTCTCTTCATATTTGTCTTACACATGTATGTAAAGTTAAAAGTAACACAGCCTATACCTTATGTATGTAAAAATCAGAATTATGAAGTACACTAGAGATATTTCCTATTAACCCTATAAAACCATTTTTATCATTTAACCAGTTGCGACACTGAAAGAAAGAACTGTCTCAAATGTTGTATGTTTTCAAAATGTTGGGCAAAATTTGTTTTATTTCTAAACCTTGTGAGCAAAAAGTTGCCAAAAACACCCAACTTGTGAAATGATAAACAAAAAATGTATACTCCATAAATACTCGGATTCAGAATTTTGGGTTAATTCAGATTGTTTCCCATATGACCTGATGTCAGATTTGGCGGGTGGAGGACTGCAGTGAGTGAAGTTGATCTGGTGTGTTCTTCTGTTCTGATTTCTGTTGAGAACAAATAACTAAAGAGAAATCTCCTCACTTAAATTCAGTCCAGTACTTAAAGTAAAGAAGTTTTAGTTTAGTCAGTGGCTCTGAATCGACTGTGGCGCTCTGTTTCAAACGTCACAGCCGTAGAGTTGACGCTCTGGCTCCTGTTTCCTTCCAGCCCCGGTGGAGAACGGAAGCACTGAGGCCGACATGACCACTGAGGAGGAGACGTGGGAGCAGAAGGAGGAGCCCGGAGGAGGTGGCGGTGGTGGAGGACAGGGTGAACAGGGGGCAGGAGGTGCCGTTGAGGAAGGCGCCCCGAAGGAGGAGGAGGAGATGATGGAAGAGGAAGAGGAGGAAGTGCCTGTACCTAAGATAACTCCAATAATGCCCGATGCCCCTAAGAAAGAACACGTGAACGTGGTGTTCATCGGTCACGTCGGTGCGTCTGGTGGTCTTGTCTTTAAATTTAATCTAAAAAATATGATCGATTCTTTTATTCAACAAAATCTTCTCTCTTTGTACCAGATGCTGGAAAATCAACCATTGGAGGGCAGATCATGTGAGTCACTTTTTTTATTTAATCAGGTTTTATCACTGTTCTGACTCATCAAAAGATGTTCTGGACTGGAGTATTTATAATGTATGGATTGCTCCCTCTTGTGATTTTGTGTGCCTGTAAATTACACAGGTAAAGTACATTATAGGTAGTTCTTATTACACACATTTAAAATAAAAGTTACAGCAGCTGTTTGTAATTAAACATGTTTAGTAAAATAGTACACAGAGATGATGATTCTTTTTACACATATGTAGCGTAAAACACATTGCTTTTTTATAACATTTTAAAAATGTTCAAAATAGCTGTTATTACACACATGAACTAAACATACAGTTCTGCTAAGTATGTCAGAGCTATTTCCTGTAACCTGAATTTTGAAGTACTACACAGTTATTTGATGTTGAACACATGTAAAATACACAATTCCAAACAGAGAAGGACTGTTGTGCTGTGGGAAATTTCCCAAAACAAAGCAAATCTAACAGTGCTTGTTACTTTTCCTTCTCCTCAGGTATCTAACTGGAATGGTGGATAAAAGAACCCTG